CGTGTGCTCTTCCGATCTGACGTCCCTCGGATAAAGTGTGCTGTTTGGATTATTTATATTAATTTCTGTTAATTTATAAATATCCTGTGCTATACAATCTGAATAATTAGTGATTTAAAATTGATATTTTTATACATGAGTAACTGTACAGTATGATGGAATCGAAGTAGTAATTGAGCTTGGACATTTTTTTAAAGAAATATAAATATAAGAGCCCCACTTTTGGTTGTGCAATCAAACAATATACCTAATTACAATTATATGATCTTGTAACTCTTATAATTATTCAGATATTTTCTTGGTTTTATAATTACTCCGTATATATGTATTACAGAAAGTCCTGCAATTACAGAAGCCGACAAACGATTTACGCATTTCGTGACAGAATCTGAAGACCATACATAACATAAATACATAACATTAATAATAACAATAACTTGACTTGAATACTGGAATTAAATATAATTAAACATGCGCGTTGACAAGTACTTACTCATTTTGTTTACGTAATACAAAGCAATTTTATAACTGAAGCATTAACTTTGTGCCAAGTATAAATACTAATTGAATTATTAATTATTAACTAATCTAATATAGCTATGTAATTGAATTTTTTTCATCATTCACAATTGTATATCTTATAAAGATATCTTCTAATAACCCAATAAACGGGAAAAGAAAATGGATTAAAATTTCTTAATTCGTGGATTGAAATGGATTGGCCTCCGTGGAAATGAATGCATTTCTATTTCATAATACGAATATAATACAATATTTTTAATATAATATAATTATTATATTATATTATTATAATTGTGACTAGGAAATGCGTTGTTTCAATCCATCTAAAAATATTTGTTTTGGATTTAGCTGAATAATATTCATGGTCCATTTTTACGAAAAACTTTTTTTAAAATTAATTAGATTGAAAAAACAGCATTTCCTATCTAGAATTTTGAATTAATCAGTATTCACGATTTACTTTTTAAAGCTTTTTGGATTGAATGACAATGTGATTCATGCAATTTCTCTAAATGAATATAAAAACATTGAGTATTGAAATGGATATTTTCAGAAGTATGCATTTGCAAACGTTAAAATGATTTTTTTAAATCTATTTTAATTCATTATTCTTTATTGGGAACTTATACAAATGTATTACATTTATAATCTAAATATATTGTATAGTTGTAAATCAAACTTATTCCAACTATATATGACATTGAAATTGTTCAAAATAATTATTGTCCGCTTATTAAAATTCAGATGTTCAAATTATGTGAATAATTCAAGTATTATGGTATTCTAATGTTAAAACTTCTCTCTCTCTCTAAATTGTATTTGAATTCTAATCTGTGCACCAATTATATTTTATGTAATATTATGTATCATCTATTTTATAAGTAAATTCGCCTATCGATGATTTAACGATCCTTTTAAAAGTGGATATACATATACATATAAAACAATTATATATAATAATTAAATTACAATAAGGAAACAATTTAAAATAAATAAACGTTTAAAAAAATTTTTTAAACCAAAAAATTCCTATATATGTACTAATTAGCAATGATTCCTGTATTTTATGTCAAAATATACAAGTGCAAAAATGTTTTTACAATATTTAATTTAAGAACATAATTAATTATTAAAATGAAAAAATAATTTCTTAAAATAATCGAATGTACATTTTTTAATTACATTAAAAATAACATATCTTTTGCAAATTTAAACTATATAAACACAAAAATAAATTTTACAGTATTTGTATGTATTAATTGTTGAAATCTAATTGATATACATAATCATGTTTTACAAGTGTGCATTATCGATATTTTATGAATATGAAAATTAGAAATTACGAAATAGAACCAAAAAATTGTGGATATAGTACAGAACAGAACCAAATACCGTGCACAGAGCATGTTATCCGTCGAAAGTTCTTGCGAATATGGCTACGAAGTACAATAGTGTGCGCGTAGAGGGCTGGTTGACCATCAAACGCGGGCAACGCGGGCATGCCGGGTGATGTTTCCAGTTTCACCAATTGTAAAGTGCGTCACTGCGTGTCCTCGATTGGCATCATCGGTTACCGGCACACAAGTTTTGTGGTTGCACAGTATTCTGTATATCTATTAATATACTCAGATAATTGAGCGTCCAGTTGCTGTAATCGAAAATGAGTAAAGCACATCCGCCAGAACTTAAGAAGTGAAGTATATTTCTCTTAAGCCGATGCAAAGTTCTCGCTATCGGCAGTTTGTTTGGGTTCTATACATATCATATTTTATTGCATTATATATTTTTAATACTTCTGTACTCTTTTCAGGTACATGGATAAAAGACTGTCCCGTAAGTAACAACGCAAGAATGCACCGATAAAATCAAAGTTACATCTCCAAGAGAAAGGTTATGTTCTAAGCTTTGCCAAGAGGAGAGGTTAAGTTTGATATACCCCCCCCCCCCCCATAAATACTGTCAGAGATTTCTTTAGTGAAAAGCACTTTTCTCTATAAAGGAATATTTTTTAAATACATTATTTTTTTGTATTATAGAACAAACTTGTTTCTTATACTTTGTTTCTGTAGTATAAAATTAATTCTGTAGTATTTGTGTGAAAAGGCTAATCGCAAGTATATGCAGTTAAAATTAAAAACAGTTTTATAGTCTTATTGTTATTCATCAGTTGTGCAAGAAACACTTTAATACATATAAATACATATGAGCGCATTTCTATGTTAAACTTAGATTGTTCTTTATTCTAATTTCACTTGAAATGTTTTCCAGTGAAATTGAATGGTGGTCGGCGCGTTGTTGGGATATTGAGAGGTTTCGATCCGTTCATGAACATGGTCATAGACGAGAGTGTGGAAGAATGCAAGGACGGTACTAAAAACAATATCGGAATGGTGGTAAGTTTTGTGGTGGCTGTATTCTTACCTTTGCGAAAGCAGATTATGCAAATGGCATAAAATAATTTCATAGTATTATCATTTAACATTATTGTAATGTTATCATAATGTTTATCAAGATAAATTGTATATTTCTAGGTAATCCGTGGCAACAGCGTCATAATGTTAGAAGCTTTAGACCGAATATAATATATGCTACTAGAATCTATCTGTATCTAATATGTGTATTTTTAAATAAATAATCGACATTTTTTTTAAGATATAATCAAGATGTTGGTAATCTTTAATAGTTTACAAATTATTTTAATCTTTTTGTATATTATAAATGACTTCTATATGGCGCCAAGTTAAGCCTTAATTCTTTGGACGATGTATAAATTCTTCCTATATGAACCTTGACTTTTCTGATTTTTCATTATAATTGCAATTTTTATTGTAAGGAATTATCCCGTTGTCAAATTTCTGTTGTGAAAACTTGAGTTTTGTTCATTTGTTGTTAAAGCTTTTATTGTTTATAAAGATTTTCGATCCAAAGGATAAGGTGATCACAATTTATCTCTGATTACTTTGGAATTACATTCATGTTACGAGGAAGAGAAGAGATACTGCGTTTCTATTATTATAGAATATTATCCTAATCTAATTTCATAGTATCATATACTCAGGGTAATTATAGGAATCGAATCTTGTTTGATGAAGAATTCTGGCAAGCTCTGAGGAGTTATTCTCGTCAAGGCTAGTAAAGGGCTATTAAGGGCTACTAAGTGGCTATTAAAAGAAAAATTATGTACATTTGATGTACAAACACGAATGGTTTATTAACAAATTTTTATTACAAACGTAGGAGCGAAGATACAAGAATTGTAATACTGCATTTAATTTTTTATTATTATACGTCGCCAGTACATCGAGAAAATAAATAAACTTATTTTACTGAACGTATTGCACTATTACATATCATCACAAATAGTTAACTAATTTAATTTCTCACGATGTAACAAATATTTTTTCGTAATCGTTATCAATGCCCAGCTCATGTTATATTTTCATTTTCAGTTTTTTTTTTTTATATTAACCTTTTTTGTATCACGGAAAAACAGATTATAGACTATTTCTGTTTCAATAAAAATGGATATCATCAATGTACCAAAGCATAAAAAAAATTATCATCAGAGCAGATAACGCTGTTGCATTTCATACATCGTTTTATGTCGCTGAAAACACTGAATTCATAATTATAAATTGTAATCTTTATAAACACAGGCTTACATTAAAATACACAAATTCCGTGTATGTTTACTAACTTGAGATTTACTTAAACTATCTAATAATGATAACAGACGTGTGTTTCAAGCAATATCTATACTTACAGCGCGAATGTGTATGATATTAAAGAAAAATCCAAACAAACAAATGTAGGAGACATACTTTATAACAGATTTTATTTCTGTAGACGACTATCTACAAATCTATTAAAAAATAAGCACGATTATATATTAGAAGAAACTTCTGATTTACAAGGCACTCAATATTTCATTGATTTTTCGCAGTTTTCAGGAACATTTATCCTCAACAAGTGATAGATGTCTCGTAATAAAATATTTTATGACAATCGTATGACAATATAATACCGTCCTTTTACATTTCAGCAACAAGACAGAGCACAGCAAATATTGAATAGTGAATGTTTCACGATGTATGCATAACGTATAAAACTTAAATTTATTATTTAAAATATTTCATATTATTTGTACTGTTCTGCTCTTATCAATTGTCTTACAATAATAAAAAAAAGGTTTTCACTGAATACGAGATGCTTAATAAATTTTAAAGAATAACTTGTCATTTTTTTGTCCTTGAATATTTTACGGATATGGCGCATAAAAAAGAATAGTATATTTAGGAAACAATGTTTTTAGGAAAACAATAAAGTATTACAAATAACTGCATAAATCTATATCACAAATATAAACATAGCTTATCGTTTTATACGTCTTTTCCAATGCAAAAGAGAGTAGAAAAACAAAAAGTATTTTAACTATATTGATAGCTACAATTCACTAATTTATAATTGAAAAAAAAAATGGCTTTGCATACGGTATGTGGCGACAGTTTTCAATCTGTGCTGATATTTAAGGCTACTTCAGAATAAAGCTTTAATATACTTCATATTAGACTAACATATTTCTTACATGCAGAAACATTATTTCGTGTATTACTGTATACATGTCAATGTGTAACATCGCAGCAGTCATTATTCATATTCATCTATTGGATGCTTTAATACACCAACAAATTTACGATTTGCACCTTGTAATTATGATAAGATTTGTAATCTTATCTGTAAGAAAACAAATCCTTGAAAAAGACTTTCATTTGAGAAATTACAAGATTTGAGAATTACAAGTTGCAGAGAATGAAATTTTTGACTACATACATATTTTATATGTATTATTTTCAAAAAGTATCAAATAACAGTTTAGAGTAGAATATATAGATGAATGTAGAACGAATATAATTATAAATCATATAGAAAACAATATTTTCGTGGGAAAAATGTATCACAGTTAAATGCAATCTCACCGAGATAAAATTAATTACACAAGTTATGTTAAATGAGTTATATGCGAACCCTATAATTTTTCACATGTTACATATTACATATTTCCAAATTTTTCGAAGATGCTGACTTTAATATAGAAAAAAAGAAATAGTTAAATTTCTGAATGATGTATTTTACTGTGTATTTCAAGTAATTAAAATTTTGTTGTTTTAAATATTATAAAAACTTAAATAATTGCATTGTTTAGTATTTTCTTTTGTGTCGAATAAATTTTATAATTGTAAATAATGTTTAAAAATATATACGTGATATATAAAAAATTGTTTTTATATATTTATATTTTGCATCTAACACACAGGAATGTAAAGAAAAATTATTAGCATAAACGTAATCGACGATATAAAATATTACACTAAATTATCGTATAAAAATAGAATTGAAAATATTACGTTCGCGAAAAGAATATGGGCAGATTTATCGTGGTTTTTATTTACACAGTAGTTAAAAGTGTGACCGTGTAAATTAAGAAACATTTGCATCGACGAGATTCACATACACTCCGTCATATCATTAGGCTACACAACAAATTCAAGAGCACACAGTCGTTATTTCGACGTCAGAACATTAAATTATTTTTGTCCGGGTATGCCTCACTCATACACTGTACGAGACACATATTAACATTTTACATTTAACGCTTTTTGATTGGACAATGAGACAATTCTTCGGTTGCTCCACTCTCGTGCTCCACATAAACTTTCTAACGAACTATATTTGGCAAAATATTTTTGTATTGCAAAATTAAAATACATTGCACGCTTCATCTCGATGTAATAGCAGATTCTTGTTCGAAATTTTCAGGTTCGACAATTTTTTTCACGGACGCGAAGTTACATCCTTTTGCCTTCGCATTGCCATCTATGCTAATCGTCGATAATTCTTTATTACTATGCTTCTCAACGTGTTCAATCTGACTAACGGATGTATCCTCGCATTTTATTTTTACTTTCCTGTTGTACGAATTGTGATTCAACTTACGGCTTATTTTATCCTCTAAAAGATCCAACTTCCTCTTTCTCTTCGAATGGACGTCTGCTTTGTTGAGACCACATCTCGCATGTGTCTGGATGTGATTTTTGTAGGAAGCAAGTGACGTGGAAGTATAATTGCACTTGTCACATGCAAGCTCCTTCTGACCGATGTGTTTATTAATTACGTGTTTTTTCAGGTCGTAATTGTTGCTAAAGGATTCGTCACAAAAATGACAAAAGAAGAGTTTCTCGCCCTTGTGCTTCGCGATGTGCATCTTGAAGTACCAATCAGTAGTGATACTTTTCTTACAGTAGTTGCAAAAGAAGCTCTTCTTCTTTTTATTCAATTTCGATGGTTTACGTACTTTTGGTATTGGATTGTTCTCTGCAAGATTTGAAGTGTTGTTTACTTGCGTAGTGGCAGTATTGACAGTTGCAGCGGTAGGTTGAACGGAACTCGAAACGGTCATCGGCGTAGCCAGATTTTCCGCTACGATGCAGAACTTAGGGATACCCTGCGTGCGATGTAACAACGACGGTGGACTTATCAAGTTGGTTATAGGTACCACACGTATCGGCGCGAGTAACGTTTTAGGCTGACCTGCCACGGTCGTCAAAATGTGCGACGGCGATACAATCCAGTTGTTTATCGTTATAGGCTGAGCAGTAGTGGTCTGAGGCGTAACTGCGAGGCGAATGTATTGTTTGTGCGACGGTACTGTCGGAGATGCAGACGTGGTAACAACACTGGGGGCCGAAATCGGGGCTAGAGCTGGAACTGCAGCCGAAGTTGGAGCTAAAGTCAGAGTCAGAGTTGGAACCGAAGTTGGCGTTGTAACTGGAACCGGAGCTGATGCTGCCGCAGTCGGAGTTAGAGCTAGGGTTAGAGTCGGAACTGGAGCTGGAGCTAAGACTGGAGATTGAGCTTGAATCGGAGTCGGAGCGCGAATCGAAATCGGAACCGTGGTAGATCCCAAGTGGGAATTCTGTTGTAGACTTGGATATCTCACTTGACCTAACAGTCTCACTTTGCTCTCCGAGTACGGCGCGTTGCTGGAAATTACACTTTTAAAGATACTCGTGGTGTTAGTCGTCGGCGCATTGATTTTGATGGGTTGCTGAACGTTGATGACGTTAGTGCTGGTCAGTTGAGTGCTAGGTACCGAAGTCACGGTGACGATCGGTCGTTGACTAGACGCTTTCTGCGGAATGATTATCAGCTCCTCGTTCCGCCGCAGTGTCTCCATCGCGCTGTCGGGATCCGAGTAGTCGCGCTTCTTGGTTCTCGAAATCTCTAGGATCTGCAGCTCCCGTATGCGCATCCGCTCCTTCTGCAAATGCAATCTGTCCACGTCGTTGTGAACGTACTTTTTCTTCCTCGTGCAATTCCTGTGGTATACCCGGGATATCCGCTTCTTCAGGGTCACCCCACAAATATCACACACGTGCGACCTGTCACACCGGTATAACTCTATTAATGCCCGACGACAGCGATTATGGTCGATGCTTAGTGCATCGCAATACTTGTTCCCGCAATGTTTTTCAACCGGCGCGTTTATCTCATCCTCTTCTATGCTCAATGCCAACATGGGTGACACACCATCTTTATCCACGTACTGTTGTAACGTCACGTCGCAAACGATATTTTCACACGGCTCATAGTGACCACATGATTTCTTCTCAATGGGTAACAGAGCAATTTCCGACTTTTTGTGCTCTATTTTTGAAGGCAGAAGATTGGCGTCTTCCTTTTCCTCGTCCGCTGTCCTGACAGGGAGTATCGATATTTCAGATTTGGTACAATTTGATATTGAATTCATGCCATTCCTTTTATGCGAAAACATATTGCCGGACTCGGCCAGTTTCAATGGAATTGCCTTGATGATGAGATTCGGTTGATTGAAAAGCCGTTTCACCGAATCTGATTGCAACACCTACAAGCAATAAAGCCCACGTGACTCATTAGTAAAGTTGTGTAAAATCTTGTAACACATAAACATGCACATATATACTATAATTATTGTAATTATTTATTTTTTGCCACATACATTATCTAACTAAATTAATAGCACTCATAACTTTTTTTTTTGCATAATAACTGAGGGGTCAACCACTGTGGGAATCAGTACATTTTTTTAGGAGTATATTGCCAGTATTGCGGCACAATACAGTACTAGCAATATGTTATCGACACATAGCAATACCTCGCTCGAGCAATACCTGGCAATACATTAGCAATACTTGATAATATTGTGCAATTAGGTGGCAGTGATAATAGATGGCAATATTACTGACAATACGAAAGTAATACAACAGAAAATACAAGCAATAAGGTGTGTTGTATTGCTGTGATTGGCAATCGCTGTACATTTTTTTCAACAGTGGTTGACCCCTCGGTAAATAACTAAGTGATACAACTTACTTCGGATAAAGTGGGCTTTATCGTATTGTTCGGGTATATATTGGACATTGTGTCTATGGGCACGAGCTTGGAGAGTGGTGGATATGCCATTTTCACCATGTCAACAGGTAAGAGCGGTCAACGCAGGTCTTCTGTAATTTAAAGAAAATTTGGCCTGGAACGGCGAATTTCTCGAGATTGTCAGCGGGACACGTGCGTCGGCCGTTTATTCCCCGCACGAACGCGATAGATGCAACACGACAGTATACGGACTCGTGTGATACGAGGCGAAATCGGAATCGACACGCTCGAGGCGGGGAGGAGGGGGGGGGGAGTAGAGCAGGAATTGCAGGAAGCACAATTTCTAGGTTAGTCAGTTAATTCGGGCAATCAAATCCCGTCACTCGGCCGACACCGTGCTCGCCGCCGCGAACGCGAAGTTTTTGCGGGTTCACCCCACCACCTGCCGCGAACTTTCCCCGAAAGGTTACTTACGGGATAGAGACTCGGTCACGACTGATTCAAAGTCAGCGTCATGATTCGCGGCTCCGACGCCACCGACCGAACAACGGGAACGGGGACTCCTCGCGGTGGTCCGCGGCTCGCGCTTCTGGCACTTCTGCTCATCCCGCGCGCTATCGGCGGCACCCGTTTTCCCTTTTCTTTTCTCTCTCTCTTTCTCTCTCTCCCTCCAAAAAACTGATTCTTTTTTTCGCGGAAACGCACGCGCGGCGCCAGGCCAGGCGCGCCTGCCTCACATCCATCGAATTCGTCCGCGCGAGCGGACGAAGCGCGCGGGATACGATTTCCCTCCGTTCATATCAGGGACGACACATCATCCGTGGGGGATGATCGCCCCGCGTCGTCGCGATCCCCGAGACTCCCGAGATTCGGGCGCACGCGACCGACCTCGCGAGCTGACGGCGAAGTGTTGCTGCGCCCGCGACCGAGAGACGCGTACGTGTAAACCTATACGCTGCTGCTCGCGAGAGACGCGGAAATTCTCGACGGAGGTGATGCCGTTGTTTCCACCGACGAATGCGCGCATTACGCGCCTGCGTCGTCGCGGCCTCGCGCTCCTTCCCCTTCGTTCATTTTTTTTTCGTCGCGCGGACACAGGTCCACGAACCTGAATTGTTACGTCAAATTGCGTCATACTACGTCATTACTCGTGTATTGCGTTGTGACGTCATTTTGTTGCGTGGACATATCCGCACGCGGCACGCCTCGTATACGCGCGCTTCGTAGAACACTTGCTTAATGCGCTCCCCTCCGCTCCTAATTATGCTCCTTCGCTCATTATACAGCTCGCATAATGGAAGGAATTAAAAATGATACAGTTCCATTTTTCTCCTCTTTCTTGGAAAAGATTTAAGTTTCTATACGGAAGATTAATTTTTGAAATTTCGCTTAATTAGTTTATAATTGATTCTCGCCCTTATTCATGCTGCAGTTGTGTAGAAACGAAGGCGCTCGCTTTATATCTGCACATTTTCTTCGTTTATATATATTATTTGAGCTTTTCAGAAACCGAACCGATCAACTTCACTTTTGTAAATAGCTCAATTAACAAGCGCCACAGAGCACGCAGTTGTAATTTACGCCTTACGGCTTAATTAATTTTCTCTATTTTCTACTTCATCTGTTTGACTTTTAAAAGGCACATTTATCTCGTATTCTGCGGAAAAGTGCCTCGCGCAAATTCTTCGAAGTTAAAAAAAAAGTTAATTCTCTTTAAGGAAACATCAAGTCTAAAAATAGCAAAGAATTTATTACGTAAAAGAGATCTGTATATATGCTATAGAGTCAATCGTTTATGAATCAGAATTTAATCATTCTACTACATCTTGCATTATAATGTACCCGTGCAAAGTTACAGTCTAGTTATGTATACATATATATTTCTCCTTCGACGTAAACCCGATATTCGAATTTAATTACTGCCACAGTGCAGAAATGCAGAGGATGGTTCAGGAAAATGTTTAGTTGGAATAAAGACTTTATTGTAACATCGTTATGGATTTTAATGTACACAATTATCGTTAAACCGACGGCTAGGTAATTAATTATTGTAGTGCTTATCTCGGCAGTGTCGTAGATAGGACTATCTACTATACCGTATTCTTTGGTACCGAATGTATTGCAATGTGATGCCTGATGTTGTCGTTACTTTTGCTAGATGATGTATAAGAACGAAGTGTTGTACGTATCACGGCTTCGTGTGTGGACAGCTGCGTTATATTTTAAGCCAATTCATCGAATATTTTGTATTATACGGTCGCAATTGGCGCAACCACTCTCCGTTGCATTTTGGTTGCATTCAATATCTTTTAATTCTCTTCAACACATTTTAATTGTTCAACATTTTTTTACTTCTTTTTCCTTTTTATGAAAGAATATTCTTACGGGTAATACTTATTCGTTAATAACGAGCGGGAGGGGGGTTGCTGAAGCAAGCCGCCTCCTCGTACGCCGTATCGCTAAAACGAACGTCTGATTGTCCTCGTATCGAAGCAACGCACACGACTCGTCTCGCGCGTGAAGAAACAAGCGGAAAAAGCAAAAATGCACAGTACGCACAGTAAATGGTCAAAAAGCTTTATTGAACCTCTTTATTGAAACCTCTGGTGGTGGTGTGATTTCTGGACGCTCCGCACGTAGGAACTATCATTACAAACTCGAGATAACGCTACGCGAATCAAAGTGTCGGACTGGATTCGTGTCGGGGGGGAGGGGGGAGGGGGATTCGCTGCGCGGAAGAGGAAAAAAAAGAAGAGGACAGTAAATGCACGAAGTTCTCTCTCACAGACCTTGTCAGTTCAATAAAACCTTTCCTCGCGAATTAAACGATAGTCTCGTCGAAAAGTTGCTTTCCTCTTTCTCGCGATCGCACGTATAATGCATGTAGGGGGAGGGTAACTTACAAATGTAACTTATTCTCGCGAAGGTACATCGTACAAAAAACTTCACAATATACGCCTATATCTTACGAACATATATTTACACGGGTAGTCAGTCAAATAAATAGTTTTAGTCTTTGCATCTAAAACGGCACCTATAATAGTCGAAGCAAGCCTCTGACCTTACGCGAAGGATAAAATAGACGAGAAAATAGAGGATGCGTGATAACTGCGCGCGACCGAGGCGGAATACAATTTTTTTCTTTTTTAGCGGCTCCCTCGCCTGCCTTTTTGCCGACGACGGTGGTATCATCTTAATTCGCAGTGTTATGTTAACTAGCATGCGCTAACACCTAGATTCTTCTAACTAATGGCATTTCCATTTTGACTCCCACGGGACCTCGAAGGTACAATCTTGCAACTTGATCTCTCATAAATATTTAATCTTTGGAAAGAAAAGGGATCTTTCTCCCTCCTATTAACGGAGCTACACGTCGGATATGACTGCGATTTCCGATGGCTTTTTAAAAAACTTAACGGCGCGTTTTCTTTTTGTCAGTACGATTTATGTACGAGGGTGTTTCAAAAAGTAACAGCAAATGAAATATTTTGGTACATAATTCAAATTTAGAGATAGTGCATGATTCAAATTTAGAGATAGTGTCATGATTCAAATTTAGAGATAGTGCATGATTCAAATTTAGAGATAGTGCATGATTCAAATTTAGAGATAATACATGATTTAAATTTTGAGATAATGCATGATTCAAATTTGAAGGTAATACATGATTCAAACTTAAAGATAATACATGATTCAATTTTAGAGATAATACATGATAAATAGAGATAAATGATATGCCATTTTTTTTACATAATCATCCCTCTTTTTAATACACTTCTCATACCGTTGCATTAACTTCTTTATTCCACCAGAAAAAAATGTTTTTGATACCTTCAGTCAAGAATGTAACTACTTTTTTTTACCCCGTTATTATTTCTAAATCTTCATTCGTACAAAATGTTCTTTACGGGCTTCAAACATATGATAATGAGAGAGAGTAAGATTAGAAAATTTATGGGGTAGTGTCAAAATCTTTTAAAAAAAATCTTGTTTAAAAATTTTGTATGTGACTGGATATTGTAACAATAAAAATGATTATTATTATATAACACCCGTATCGGCTCGCAAATTACTCATTTCGTATTTATTTCTAATTTATTTATGGGAGCCTAATTGCTTTCAAATCAAAATCTTCTCTAAGAATATTCTCTTTTCTGCACGAGTGTTTGAAATGCAGCTTGGGATATTCGTCTCGTGAAATATTATCAATTTGCTGTTTGAATTACCCTCGTACGTAGTATGATACAAAATAATTTGGTCGCGTCTAAAATCTGCTAGCCGTAACAATGTGGCATAATAGTGTTTCTGTGTGCAATATTTCTTTATACATATACATATATCACAGAGGTCAATTAATTCCGTACACGCCCCTTATCAGTTTCACAAGCGATGGTTCCGAAAATAACTGTCGCTTACCTCGCAATGTCGCTTATAAAACGCTTAAGATAAATATTACGGTAATTATTGGCTTACACATAGGTACGCCTGAACATCGGCAATGGGATAGTCTCTACAAAAAATATGAGAATTTTTAAGTGTGGGCACTATTTACAATTTTCAATATCGTGTCTCTTATGCAACGCAGCCGCGTATATACGACCTATCTTAATACTCCGACAAGAAATATATTTGCTTGTAAAATTAGCGTTTTATGGATCTTAGAGGAAAAGACTCGATCCTTGTACTATTCTTTCTTCTTTTTAAACTTCTGTTTAAGATTTCTTAAATAAGAAATTACAGAGATAATATATCGCTCTCTCACGCATTATCTACGTTTATACTCGTGCACACGCTTACGATGTACTGCGATTTACCGTGAACGTGTATACCACGTTTATATACCACGCGACTTTCCACGCGAGAACGATTCAATGTGACGGACTAGAATGTTTCAAGTATAGATTTCCCTCGCCGCGTCTCTGACGCTCCTCCGATCCCGTCGAGAGCACGTCCCGAGCGATCGGGAAGGTCGAATTGTCACGCTCTTCCGGACGATCGCTCATTTCCTCAATCCGCCGCCGCCAACCTCCGTCGTTCGTGCTATCGATTTCTTACTGTTCGCACTCGGCACAGTCCTCGCGACACCGGAATTGTTCTTGTTAGCCTCGAACTTTTGCTGGAGCGACGCCACGTTGGATTTACCGCTCGCCACTCTTTGCAGCGGATTCGTCTTCGCTGCTGCACCCCCGTCCCCGCTCTTGATTTCCGTCTTAGCGGAACTCACCTTCGGTGTCAAATGCGACGGCTTGGTACTACCGTTATTCGCCTCCTTGGCGGTCGGCGACAGTGGTTTGGTCACACTCGCGTTGCCGGTCGGAGACTTCTTCCTTTCCGAAAGACTGGCTGCCTTGGATGTAATGTTGAGCGGTTTCAACGGCGTCGTGGGCGTCTTCTGGCCACCCCTCGGCGCCGTCGGTGTCTTCTGAACGGTTTTAAGCGAGAGACTGAACTTGGGATTGCTGCCCACAACGTCCGGCGACTTCGTTCCGCCTTGATTCGTATTCGAGCAACTCGAGACCAGATCCGGGCTATTGAACTTTCCCGGATTATCCTTAGGACTACAAGGCACATTTTTGACAGATACTGTTGTGTGTGATTCTTCCTTAGCCAAGTCGCTACTCGACTTGCACGCGTTCAGCTGCGTTTGTCTCGCGATCGGGCTCACGTCCGATCTCTGTTTCACCATCGCCGAACTCGTGTCCGAAGCTTTCGAGGATTTCGAGGATTTTAACGTGTTATCTGAACTTTGTCTCGCGAGTTTCACGCTCGACTCGGGCACGTCTTTGGCAGTCGGGCTCTTCGCGATGTTCGGAGGCGTTTTAGTCCTACTCAACGGCGGCTTGGCCGGTACCTTGCTCTCAGCTTGGTCATCCTTCTTGATATGTATCAAGTGAGATGGTCGAGTCTTCGTCGAGACGAATGGTTTATACCCTATTGGATTCTCAGGCGGCTTCATGCCGAGCTCCTTGGACATTTCGTCGTTTACATTAGGATTACTGGACTTAAGGGAGTTTAGATTATTTTTATCGGCCGACTTCAAATTGTCGTTCGCGTCCGAAATATTTTTGCTCGCCTCTTTCCTCTCCACTTGCGGAACGTTTATCACGGATGGATGGAGATAGCCGGAGCTGGTGGTGGAGCTCGAGGAATTAAACTTACCGGAGGACGAGTTTGAGTAAATTCCACCGGGTATCTTGTAGTGGTTCGAATTCATGTAGCTGCCTAGGGAGTTGTTGGATCCCATATTTTCCATATTTTTCGTCACGTCTTCCCTATTATTCTCTTTCTTCTTTCTGGTTAACGTCGAGGTGGAATATATGGAATCGAAATTGCGATTCGATATCTCCGACACGATCTCCGACAGCAGACCCATCGACTCCAGGCTGTTCGGACCGCCGGTCGTCGTGTCGATGGGCTTCGGCAGTTTATACTCGTTATCAGCCGGCGTGGTTTCCAATTCCATGTTCTTCCTGTTCTTCTCCGGCACGGGTTCCTCTATCACCGCGTAGATATTGTCGTTCGTGGGCGACTCCTCCGTGATCTTCGTCAGGGACGATTCCGCGATCAGGTTCATGCAGTCGTCGTAAGTGTTCTCCGTAAGTAGCTTCGGAACGGTTTTCACCGGCGGATTCTGATAACCTGGCAGTCCGGGGATCTTTATCGCGTTCTCGGCGGCCTTTTCCGTCTGCGCGACGGTCGGTGGGACCGGAGGTGGCGACGTGGGCCTCGTGCTGGCGGGAATACTGGTGGGCCTCTTGACGGGTGACGTCTGACGCATCGAACCGAATGTCTGGATGTACGGTCTCGACGTAGCTTTGCTGTCTCTCATCGACTGAGCGCGCAGGACCACGTTTTTCTTCTCGACCTCGGTCGCCGGTATCACCGGGATGACCGGCGTCGCGATCTCAATCTGCGTCTGTGGTATCGGATTGGAGATCTCGAGGTTCCTCAGGATCTCCTTGTCGATGACCTTGTTGGCCTTGTGGTGCTGGCTCCTCGGCAGAGAATTCGTGTTCTTGTCGTCTCTCTGCACGCTCTGGGAGTTGCTTCTCATGATGCCGGAGCCGGGGCGCAACATCGACGCGATTCGGTTGAGCGTGCTGCTGCTCTTTTCCGGCTTCTTCTCGGGCTCCGGCAGGATCACGTTTGTCAAGGGCGTGCTGTTGGGTCTCTGCGGCCTCGCAGGAGGCACGGAGGTGATCGGCGGTGGTGGGGCTGGACGCATAGGTACGTCCGGGGCAGGTCTGGTGGGCACCTTAGACACCAATTCGACGGACGTGCAGGTCGTGGCCGCCAGTACGGGACTACTGATCAACGGTCGTGCCGTAGAACCGGGATTCAGCGGCGGTAATGTCGGCGCGATCGAGCTCGGATCGTTAGAAGCCAATAGATTGCTCCTCTGCGGTACGCTGCACTTTTGCACGTTCGGCTTAACTACGTTTGTCTTTATCGCCACGGTGGGCATCCAGCCCGGTGGAGGTGGCGCCGGTTTCGTGGGCTCGGTTTTCGACTGACTCGAGTGGATCGGTGTGATCGTGAAGCCCTTAAACTGGCCGAACATGTTGTTGTTGTAGCGCTCGTCGGCCTCTGCCTTAGGCAGCAGACTCACGCACGCGGGATCCTGACTCAGACTAGAATCGATCGTTTCGATGTTACGGGACATGGGGTTGGAACGATCGATCGTTTTGATTAGCAATCCATTGTGGCCGCGATCGGTCCTGAAATTTGAAGCAGAATTATAAGCGGGGGGATCAAGGAACTTGTAAGCAATTACGGATACACAGCTAACGAGTACACACTGTTTGTAGTAAAGTAAATTTAACCAAGGATCTTTCTTTATTTAGTGTAAATTCGGACATAAAGCATTATGCGGATCTCGATAGTGACATTATTCGTTAAAATATTAAAATAATCTAAAAGAAAAATAATATAAATTCTTTTTTATTACTACATACTACAGTTTAGTTGTATGTATGCTCCAACACATGCGTAGTATTTAACATTATTCGAAAAATAATCATGTAAAAGCATTACTCATCATCTGTAGCTGTTCACCGCAGACACATGCACAGGCAAGAAAATTGCCGGGAAATGTTAGTTACAGATTAAGAGATTAGTAGCAAGCGTTGGAAAAGAAGGAAATCGTTGATTACAAAGGAAGACTAAAAACACTTTATATCAATACTATGTTTATTCAATAATAAAATTGTACATTTTTATTTCTCTGAGTATGAGTAACATATTATCGGATATCTGAATTTAATATCCAAGGAATGAGTCAAGAATTAAAAAAATATTTGTTTTCATAATTAAAATTAAGTACTTCTTACGTAATTACTATTAACATAATAAAAAATTATCATTAAAACTGAATGCTCGATAGTAACATCGAATTAAATTATCGATTTTCATTAATTGCAAAGAGTCAATAAGAAAAGAATCTTCATTCATGCTCATGCTCACATAACATGATTTTGCACATGCTATATCGTTATAAATAATCTCTCAAACAATCTCCGCCTCTCATATGGCGCAATATGTCCATATTAAATTTACAATTTCTACATAAAAATTTAGATTGAAAAGTTGAACAGTATTTTGTTCAGAAAAAAATTTAATTAGTCCTATTTATTAATATTAGCCATGTGTGCAGCATTGATAGATTAATAACTTGAAAACTATAAATAAAGAAACCATAGATACATTAATAATCAAAATATTTTTTGTTATATAATTTTTGCATTGCAGGCATATATATTATTAATATTGTGATGTAGAATGCAGTGCGTAAAAGTTATTTCCATTTTACATAGCTCTTCTATTTTGTTTGTGTAATTATATGTAATTAGTGAAGTAAAGCTCTAAATTAGGAAGTGTAAGTCTGTGTACGAGCAAATCGATGAGAACATAATACTGTTCATTCGTGTAGCCACATTCTTCATCTAAGACTTTCTAGAGTTTCAAATCACTTAATGCATATTGCACCAAAAAATATATTAAATATAAATTAAATAAAAAAAATACACATGGAAAATTGCACATACAATCCTACATTTCATTATTACTTATTGCAATAAAAAATCTGTTTGGAACAGATTTGATCACATGTTAAACGACACAAACTTGACAAATTTGACATCATTCAAATGCTTAGCTACTAATCTAATTTTTTTGAATTCGTGTAAAAATATTATATTTATTATAATTTTGACTGAAAGAATATATTGGAGCATTATTACGACTACTAACAGTTGCAATCACAGCAGTAAAATTACTTTAATGCATTTCGGTATCCACTATCCAGTAACGTCTAAATATTTCTATATAAACCATCACCGCTTCGAATTCCCATATTATAATGCAAAAATCATAGCTCGCAAAAAAATGCGCTATGATATTCGCACTATGCCGAATAAAATGGTTCTTAAATATATAATCTATTTTACATTCATTATTTAAGAAATTTAGCATAATAAGTGACGTTTCCTTTAGATTAGCACAAATTCTATATTGATAAAAAATATATTTCTTCCTTCAATTTTTTAAAATAATGTGCTTTAACTGAAATGATTCTTTTCAAATCTATCATATCTAAAGATAAATTTTGTTGTAGATTCTAAAACAGATTTAAAATATAAGTATCGTAATATTTTATATAAATAGAAAATTTCTCTAATAATACATAATAAATTTTTTATGTAAAATATCCGTGCGTAATGAGATTCGTATAAACAAACAAGAAATCGCTCAGATCTTTGGTTTTAAGCTTTGAGCAGGTGCCGGTGGGGGTGGCGGTTTTTTATTGTAAAATGGAGCAGGCTCCTTCGAATTATTAAATAACATATCCGGCGTTTTCGGAGTAACGTCAGACGTGCTGGCTGGACTTTCATTCAATTGCTTGAACCTCAATTCGGTATTGAGAGTAAGTCCTTTGTCGTTCTTGGATTTTTTCTGAATCTGCTGAATACGCTCCGATATCATGGAGCTCAGTTCCGATTTAAGGGGAGTGATTTTTTTCGACTGGGCTTCAACGGCCGGTACCGAAGGGGTCGCAATCTTATTATAAACCTGGGGCTTTGCGCTAACGTCCGGCTTTACGTTGCCGAACAGCAACGACTTTCTGTATTCGATATTATTGCTACACTTAATAGCGTCCGGATTGGTGGTGGATATCAGATCAGCCTTAGTTATCTGGAGCGGCTCTTTCGTGACATCGTCACTAATCGTGAATATTTTATTATTCGCGTTACGGGAGGCGTTCTTTCTCTTCGGCGCGCAATAGGCGGAGATCATTATCCGCCATCCGAAAAGTTTGCTACCGGCGGCATAATGTGACTTTGGCGTAGAAACACCGAGCGACTTATTGGCATGCGGTTTGCGTTTCTTTTTAAAACGGTCGAGACTAGATACGTACGTAGACATCATATCCTTCTTCCAGTGCTGTCCGGAATTCCTGACATACCAGACACCGAATAGGAGCAGAGCTACGGCGGGCACCACTCCCAGGAAGATAACGTAAAGCGCAGTTATGACATCGTTTCTCGCTAAACATACGAAAACAGATATCGCATAGTGTAATTTACATCGATAAAATATAGATCTCGAATTAACATGTGTCTCGAATTAAGACATTACATAGTTAATCTGTTATTCTTTTTTTCATCTATCGGATATTATTCTTTTCTTTAGTAACATTCTTAAAATTATTTTTGTGTTTTTTATCAAATAATCGACTAGACATAAAATAAAGTGTAGATACCGTTGGGATCATCGGCTGGACCGCTATCTATGGAGCCACCGAATCCAGGCTGAAGGCAATCAGGTGATCGAAAGCCACGATTACAATGGCAATGACCGAGACTGTTACACACTCCGTTACCATTGCAATTGTTCGGGCAAGCTTTACCGTCAGACACGGACGCTCTCAGATCCGCTACTGACATACACTTCTGATTTACACACATCTAAACAATATAAGCAATTTAGTATCCCAATTGTTTCCTAAATTACACGTTATAAATCACTTTTATAAATATTGGTAATGTAATCTTAAAATCAAAATCTTGTATTGTCATATAGCAATTATAATTATAGCGTAGATCAACATGAAATTTAAGAAATATCAGTTGAACAGAGTTTCAGATTATATCAGTTTGATATTTATCATTTTATCTTTTTCTTAACTTGGCAATTACTTATTTATTTATTTACTACGAATTCAAGAACTCTATTATTGGAAATATTTTACCTTTCCGGGCGCACACTTGGCGCCGTCCGGCGCAAGACCAGGGTCAACTTGGCTCAATCCGAGATCGACTATGGCCGAACGACACGGAATTATCTTCCCATTGTTATTGATGAACGAATGGCTTAAGGTCGCGACCGATTCCATACCAAATTCTAGTCGTTCATTCAAGTGTTTGCAGTGCAGCATACCGCAGAGAAGATTTCTACAATACATCCGTTACGTGCTTACATCAAAATCTAATGCGATATCCTTTTTGGATATACGGCATGGTCAACTTACTCATCGTTACATTTGACGAAATTTGAGTCGATGCGATTGTAGCCGCAGTTACCGTTTTTCGTGCCCCTGTTGTTCATATTGTAGCATTGCGCGTCAGAAGACAAACCGGTGGGACCCCACAACAATTTGCACTGATCATCGTGAGTTCTGCACGAGCCCTGATAGCAAAAGGCTTTGCCCACGCTGCAGGTCTCACCGTCCATCTTGAACACGTCCGCCGGACAATACTCGCTCTGACCGGTGCAGTATTCCGGCAGATCGCACTCGTGCTCGGCGCTCCGGCACTCCGTGCCGGCGGTCTTCGGCCTGCAGGTCTTCAAGTCGCAACACTCGCCGGTCGCGCAGCTCGCGTTGCTGTGAAGCATACAGGTGGTCACGTTGCAGCAGGGATTGTCGCAGTTCTCCTTCAGGCCGCAATCGCACTGCTCGCCCGGCTCGACGAATCCATTGCCGCATATGGGACTGTCGAAGAGCTTCTGCGGCTTGTTCCTCAAGCAGTAATCCATACCGTGCTCGAAGGCTAGAGCTAGATGTTCCAACGAACACGTCGACCAGTGCGTTGGTCCGGATGAGCCGCTGGACGATGCCATTATACATCTAAGATACAAGAGAAACATATTAATAATGTAATTGGAGCTCGACTAGATGAACAAATCAATACATTACATTAGGAGGCTGCGTGAAGCTGATTTTTATTTTCGAATATCGTAAAATAAAATAAATTTTTTTTTCGCAACACGTTGAACGTTTGAAGTGCGAAGGAGAGGCAACTCTCTATACGTACTTCTCTTCAGGACACTCGCAATCCGGTCCGTCGTGCTCCATGCCAAAATTGTGGCCCATTTCGTGGGCGACAGTTGCCGCGACCAAACCGACAACGGTCGAGTGATCCATGGAGACACCGCCGGAGAATTCGTAGGTGCATATCGGTCCCTTGAGAGCCTTGCCGACTACCCCACCCTCGAAGGTGATTCGTCTGCGTGTCGAGAAATAAATTCGGTCATTATTGTTCACGACACTGCACGAAATACAAATGCATTTGTATTTGTACACTCACGTCAACAGCTGGGCGTTATCGTTGGGAATGTTCTTAACCAGTTTCTCCCTGCGGTAGCGCAGGAAATTCGTCAGTGTGGTGTCGCCGTTCGGCGACAGTGTTATCTCGTCCGACTCGGACCACACCTGTACGCCGACCAGGGCAATGAATATGTTCAGCGGCATATACAGCTGTAAACACACCGGGATATACCGTCTCGTATTTTATAGAGAGATTTCGCGGTACCGTGATGCGCGCCAGTAAGACCGAGTCAGTGCTAATTAATCTCTCTGTGTCTCGCAGAGAGAACGCAGAATATACACAGGACGACGTCGCCCGTTCTCATTTACGGAGATATAGAGGTCCGAATTGAAATCCATCATTGTCATCATTTGCTAAATTAATTAAAAGTAAAAATAAAAGCAGCTTCGAGAAAACTAGTTAACAGTAATTCAACTTTCACATAACTTTCGAATGAATTAGCGTGTTAACTTGAAATTTAATTAATGAAAAATTTTGCTTGGAAAAAGAATACATGTGTATGTATGTATGTATCGCAGGAAAAGAGTTGTTTCAATTTTATAACAAAAATAAATTATATCGATCGTAGAGCAGTTTTTGAGATACAATGGAATATATAAAAGTTTAAGTAAAGTGGACCATACTTAATTAGGATTTTAGTAAGACTTATCAAAGTTCTCGCGCTCGAAAACTCCTTTTTGAAGAAAGAAAGACTCGCACATTCATAATATGTGAACATAATTGTGCATATAACACAGTCAATTACCCCAGATAAAGTAAAATTCGTAGAACCGTTAAAACTATGTGTGACAGCTGGAGATACATTTTAGAGATATTTTAGAAGGAAACCACAAATGTTCAAAACGATGACTAATTGGATAATGGAGTTGTTGAATTAGCGCTGTAGCGCTTCAGATCGTTCTCATTTCGACTTGAGGTCGAAAGGAACTATACGTCCAATTAAGTTATACGACGGCGACGTTACTTACAGCGTTGATAATGTTGGCGATGTCCTTACAGTGCTGATGCACTTTGTCCAGGTTCTCGTCGAGCGCGGTGTATTCCTTCTTGTCGATTACGAGTACCAGTTCCACGTAACGCGACTGTCTGTTCGCGTTATAGGGTCCACGGATAATTTCAGCCGCTCTTTTGTGCTACAAAAGAGAACACAACGACGTGGCGTCAACCATGAAATTCATTGAGTTTTAACTTTAGCTCATTGAAATTTAACAAAAACACGAAGTTGAAATAAAATTGTCATAACAACAAAAACGTAATCATTAATAGTTCCTTCTTGAAACTTGCAATTCTATAAATAATCCATTAATTGTTGAAAACTCTCTGTTGAAATTTTTGCTAAGCGCAAGACGTTTCCCGAACTATTCACGATTCCCCTAACGCGAAGAAGGAAGGAACGGAAGAAGGGTACGCACGCAAGACACTGAGGGTACCAAGACCCCTGCGAGTGTATACGTTCTTTGAAGTCGTATAATTTACCGGGGAAGCGGCTTTCGCGAATTTCTTTTTCTCTTTCCTTTCCTTTTTCTTTTTTTCTTTTTTTCTTTTTTACTATTGCTCCGTATACATACCCTGGAGAACCTTTTAATCTTGCGATGATCACGAGGGAGAACGTCATGCGGCGACGCGCCTTCGTAACCTGCAACCGGAGGAAAAACGTCAAACATCAGGGACACGATCGTCGACAGCAGGATTTCTCGGTAGGATCGAGGAGAGGACAAAGAGTCTCCGCGACGAGCGTACGGCCGGGGCCTTGCTCTCACATTCGTTAAGACCGTTAAGGAGAGACCAGTCTTCCCGAGAGGCGAGTCTTTGAGCTCGCGTGGGTCACTGCCACCGAGAAGGACGGAGGAACGAGCCCCCGGCTAGCTCTCGTTCCTTCGTGCTAAAAGTCGTATTTCTGAGAGCCAAAGCTCGTGAGTACTTTTAAAGGAACCCACGGAAATTGCCTCGGCAACAGGAACTCGCGCGACAGCGACGGATACGATCTCGGAACGTATATGAATTGCAAATGTGTTTGTGAGTCAACGTGTATTAGTCATGAAAATTCTGAGATCTTAATTACGAATCTTACTAATCTCTTAAAATCCAGAAACATATCACTGTGTCGTACACAGTGTGACAAATAATTTCTCGAAATTGTGCTATAAAAATGAAACGAATTAATTTTTTTCAGTTTTCTCTTTTTCTTCATTCAAAATATTCTCCTCCTGATTCAATACACTTCTTGCAACGATTCAACAATGATTCAAACGACTGCTCCAGTTCATTTTGTGGTATTGCCTCCAAAACATGCGTCGAAGCCTATTGAATTGTTTTCACATCTTCAAAATAGCTCACAGTCAATTTTTGGTTAAAAATCAGATTTGCGTGTTGAATCATTCATCGTATTCGCCTGATTTAGCGCCATGTGACTTTTCTTTATTCCCCAAAATAAAAATAAAGTTGAAGGGATGCTATTTTGAAGATGTGGAAACAATTCAACAGATCGATTCTTCGATGCGTGCTTTGGAGGCAATATCACAAAATGTACTGGAGCAGTCATTTGAATCGTTTTTGAATCGTTGCAAAAAATGTATTGAATCAGGAGGAGAATATTTTGAATGAAGAAAAAGAGAAAACTGAAAAAACTCAATTTGTTTCATTTTTATTATAGCACCATTCCAGGAAATTATTTGTCGCACTGTGTATAACTGTCCAGATTCTTCGTGATGTTCTTTTAACGAAGCGGATGTTTGCAATGTTAATAATTGAAAATATTGAACGTGCAACGTCAACAATCTGCATATGGCGTGCACTAATAACATTAATTTTTCTGATGCAATTTCCCTCTCTTCCACTTTGCATTATTAAGCATACGATTCTTGCGGAGAAGATCCAGATATATAACAGGGACAGTTTAATCGCGAGATGCTTACCACACGTATTGTTGGCAATGAGATCGCTGTGCTTGTAAAGGTAATGCGCGGAATCCAAGCTCTCATCTTCCGGATGGATGTAATGAAGATTCTCACCATCGAAGATGACACCGCGCAATCCTTCGCAAGTGGATAACGCCACCCACGAGGCAGGAACATCTCGAACGCTACCTTGGTAATGACAGAGTTCCTGCAAGATTCACGCAATTCACGAATGCCATTCGCCATAAGATAAACGACGTTAAAAGAATTCGCTTTGTTTCTTCGAACATTCTAAAAAATTTATCAATATTTAGGAAATTCGCTTTATCACGTGAGTCCGCTTTTCCGCTTTACTTACGCATTTCTAATTATTTCTCAACTCAATAATAACTTCAAGTATGCAAAATAATGGAACAATTTTCTCGCAAACATAGATATGCAGTCACAAATAAAAAGGCGTACTTCTAATTGAATTTATGTTTTCTATCTTGATCCGTTGCGTTCCTATCGAAGTATGTAAGTAGACACAGCGCTTTGCGGCAAGCTTTCACATAGTTTTCAAAATATTCGAAGCAGTACATGATTATATAACCAGCAAACGATATTTTTGGAATTTCTATAAATACTTCGAAATAATTTAAATTGCTACATGTTGAATCGACTGTGTGATTAAATTATTGAAAATAAAATACTTGATAATATTCCTCGTACGTATTTGTGAGAAATAATTTAGAGCGTAAAGAATTATATATGAGAAATTTTTTATTTTATCTCAAATTAAACTTCATTTTTCTCTTACTTAACGTTTATCCGATTTGCGTCACTTATGAATCACGCGGCATAAAAAGTGAAGAAATCGAGATGCCCGTGCGCTCCGTACGGTTGCAGTTCGCGAGCTTATCTCGGCTTCTCAGATGCATCGGAACCGTACATCGGCTCAGTACAAATATAGTTGTCCCAGATTTCTGGGTGTGCACACGCTGCTGGCGAACCCCGGCGATTTTTCACGTTCCTTTTTCCGCCGCGAGGAAAACGAGGGAGGAGACCCGTTACCTCGGAGAGCAAGCACGTTACTCTCCCGAAAGGAATTGCTCCAACAAAGAAGCACGATCTCGCAGGCGGGGGGGTATCGGGATCGTCTTTGAAACGAGGCGCTTTCTCCGTTACGAGAACCATCGATCGTGGTCCATTATCCGATTGCCGCATAGGAAGGTGTATACGGCGACGTGACGGGCGAGATTGAATTAACGAGAGAACGTGTCGGTATCGTTAAATCGTCGTATCGATTATTTAATGCAACCGCGACTCTTATTTATTGCCGATGACGCAGCGGCGGCCCGCCCGTGTCTTGTTGGTTTTCAATGCTGTCCTTTAAAAATGACGCAGCGAAGTTCTCCTCATTGCCGAGCTTCAATTTCGATGATGCTTGAAGTCGATTTTCCGCGACGTAAATTTATCTTTATTATTGGGAAAAAAATAAAAACGACACTCCTCAAAAATTTAAATTTAAAATTGCGATTAAACGACTGGAGAATGTAGAAAAAAAATCAATTACAAGAATATATGCGCATTCACTATTCATACTTGAATATTGAATTTAGAATTCAAGGATTTCAGCACGCGTAATGTTGGGAATTTTTATATCCAAGGATTCATATTCTCGCATATCTAAATATTTCAAAACACGATAATAGTTGGCAATTTTTATATAAAAAATGGAACACGCCTATCGCATACAAAATACTTTTAATAAAAAAAAATACTGGTTATAACCTTCGGGAATTTCGAGGTTTGGCTTGGTTGTTTTTTCCAGTCACGCAGTATTTCTTTTTCATATGAAATGTTTGCATGCTTCGCTGGCATATAATATCCTTGTGCGCATTTTACGCGTTTATTTCACGTGAGAAATCCATCGTCGTCCGTCTAAATGCGTCCAAGGATATAATCACTGGGGACCGCTGATATATAACGGACGGATAAAGCGTACGGCTTGATTCATTGTCGGATAAGAGAAAAATTTCGCGAGAGCGTAACGTGCCCCATGGAAAGCGCGTTACGAGGCGTGTCGGCGGAATATGAAATTTTGTATTCGCCCACGGTATAAGCTTATCCTCGCTTCTATTAAATGTAATATCGCGTGTGCGCCGCATCGGGGATTATGTAGATTTGTATCACGAGAGCTGTGCGAAAGAAAAATATATTTCGTAACAGCCGCGTTCTTATTACCGGGACGGTAAATTTCAGAATCGCGTTGAGAGCATAAAGGGACCTCCTATCCTATATGTACGTATCCTCGTGAAAACGGACCGTCCCTCTCTTCCTCAATCATTTTCCCATCCGTAAAACAACTTTCGCATTCGTCGAAGATAAGAATATGAAACACTTAGATGTTATGTTCTCGATCCGCAAAATTTCAATCGTATATGTACATTATGTTCGTTTACGATTTAAATTTTTATATGCATTATCCATACACGGAAAGAACAATTTTGCTGGATACAGATTTGAAAATAATTTTTGTTGGACAATCAAAACAATTTTATTGAAAAGTCAAACTGATTACTAGAATTAAGAATATCAAAACGTTATAGCAATGCTTATCATTTTTAACTTTCCAACAAAATTATTTTAATGATCCAACAAGAATTATTTTCAGGTCTGTATCCAGCAAAATTTTTAGGCTTTCTAACAAAATCGTTCTTTCCGTGTACGTAATACAAATTATATGTAGTATTATTATTGCGCAAATTTTTATATATTTTTGTGTACACATTTTATTATATTAGAAAAAACTTTTACACAGTGTTTCAAAGAGTCAGAATTACCACTGGTATCTCAAATTCCTAGCTTACTTCACATCCGTGTTTTCTCCTTTAACGAGCTCAAAATTGGTTCATCCGCGCGGATAAACCGTATTTATGCCGCGAAGAACGGGAGATGGGGCGACGGAAGGCAGTGCCGTTAACCGGAGTCGCCAATTAATTAAATACAATTTGTGCAAAATAATAAGTGTGAAATGCTGCGGCTAGCGCAACGAACTCCGCCAGTTGGCCAGCGAGTTTTACATTTTCCGCTTGACTTTTGTTCCACATTCTGGATGACTTTTTTACTCTCATCATCGTCCTATTACACATAGCCGAGCAGAACATTATGATCAACGAGCAGCAGTCAGCCTTTGTTATTTATAATTGCAGTAGAATTCATTTTCTGTGTTAAATTGCTATTATTTATATTTGTATATTTTTTAATTGAATACATTTTTATGATATAAAAATGTATTTTTATATCGTACATTTTTATATCATACATTTTTATATCATTTTATATCATACATTTTTATATCACAAAAATGTATTCAATTAAAAATTATAAAGAGTACATTATTTTCTTGATTGATTGCTTTTTATTTCAGTTTTTAAATTTTGTTCCTTATTTTAAATATGAGTACATTATTTTTCACTCTCTTTATTTTATTCTATCTAAAATATATATAGAAATTTTTATCTTAAGACAAATAAATTACTTTTCTACATGATAAAATTAAAATTTGTAAATTTAAATTTGCTTTAATTCAATGCCGATTCTGCAATTAAACTGAGAAGGCACAGTATTTGTATAAGTAATCCAGTCCAGAAGAGATACTTCCAACTTCATGTTGCAAAGCATAATAATTATTGTTATCGCATTCGTGTACAACTCGCTGCTTTCACCGAGATAATGTAATTGCATGATTTTGGACAAAGCTCGTAATTAGAGAAACATCTCAGAAATACTTTCACAATTTCCGTAAACTGCGGAGAAATTTGATTGTCGCTGATTCAGCGTGAGCGAAATTTAATACAATCAATTTCACCATCGATATCACGTTGAATGCAACGTCAAAGTATTTAATGTATTCAGATTTTTATTTTTTATCTTTCGTAATCATATCTTTACTATTTATTTTACGTTTAAGCGACTAAATAAAATCGATTATCTACAGAAACATTATGATAGCGGAATTAGACGTTTAGCAGGAGTAATTTCCGAGGCAATCCCCGCGTTTTGCACGATATACTTCGCAGACACGTCGCGCGACCGTTGCAATTTAACGTATTCCGGATGTTCCATCAGCTTTCCTCCCTTTTTCCCTTTTTCTTCTCGTCCTTCCTGCCTTTCTCTTCCACCGCGGCATTTGAATTATAAAGCGGAAACGCCGCGACCGCCGCTCATGCACAATTTTAACGTGACGGGGGGAGGGGGGGGTGGATTGTACGCCCACCGTTCGCCCCGGGACCAACACGCCGCTACACATTTGCGTGTGTTTATAGCGAGACGTTCTATTAAACATGTAGACAGCAGACAGAGTGAGTCACCTCGATCGATTTCGGCCGAGTCGCGTATTATACCTGCACCGGGGACCTGCCTACCTTTTCCGCCCGCGTGCGATGACGGCGGACAGATATGACGAGAGGGGCACGGACGCCACCGGACACCCGCGGAGATTTTTAATTTTCGTGGGACCGGAAGCACGGGCCGAGCGTGGAATTAAATAAATTTTCTCACAAAATAGATTGTCGAGTCGTCTAAAAAGAGAAATGGTGTGGGTCTTCGTTAAAAAAAAAAACGGAGATTATATCGCTTTTATCGCAATACGCTATTCTTTTCTCTTTTTTGCCTGGCATCTCTTTGTTGACCTGACTGAATAAAACATCGTCTTCAGAGTTCTCCATGTTGGTCAATTCCATTGTCAAGGTTGCTAATAGTAACATGGAATAGGGTAGCAGCAAAAGTAGTAGACAATACAATGTGATTACTTAGAGACGAATTAAAATTAAATTGCGCGGGACGACCTTCTTTTATATCGTAAACTTCATGGCTCTATAGACAAATCAACTTGTGGTAACGTGGCATCGATTCACGAGAGATGACCGAAAAGTAGCAAAGACCAAATGAGAAAGACTTAACAAGTGGATAAACTTTGATCATCTCTTTCTAGTGTAAAAAAAAAAATACGTACAATGAGATTATTTTTCCGACCGATGTACATAATCGCTTATCTGAGCATTTTCGTCGCAAGATAAAACGTTCAAAGAAATAACATAAAACAATAAAAAAATATTTAATCGATAGAAAAAACAGCTCTTCATATATCGTCCGCAATAATTGTTGAGAAAAGTTGTATCGATTATCCCTTTTCTTGCGGGAAACGAACGACCATATGTGTACTATCGTAAATTTCACGTCGTATATCATGCCATTAAACGACGATAATGCCGTTCTTTGTATGCCATTCGATACGTGACGAGTCGCGAGTGAATGGCCGAGCACGGGGTTAAGTTGAATGAATCCTCGACGCTTTCCTTGATCGACGCGCTGGTGTATCCGATAGAATTACGTTCGCACACTCGATATCGATTAACGCAAACGTTGTTTGCGGAAAAGCGGTTAGCACGCTACGGATGCGAATAGGTACTGGATGCCCGGGCGGTACTTACAACTTTCGACGGGGTGTGCACTTTGTACGTGCCGCGATGCTGGTGGAGTTGCTGATAGCCGACCGGAATTAAATCGGTGTTCAGTCGAAGGTCGAGAACACGCTCGACGCCGTCCACATTGAAACCCACCGTCAGCACGTCCGCATGTTCGAGGTCCTGAAAAGAGGGAAAATATATCGTATCTTGAATTTCGATCTGCAGTTAAAATTTTTTTTGTCCTTAACAGTTGCAACTGAAGTAAGGAAATTTATAAAGCACTTTCTTTCAATATTTTTGAGAAAGGAAAGAACAAAATCTATTTTTTGTAATTAATCGCGAAGCATATGCATATATTATATAAAACTTTATATAATTAGCTGCAAATGAAAAAAGAATTTTAAGATATTTAGGCGAGGGGTCAATCACTACTAAAAAAATGTACAGCAATTGTTAATTATGGCAATACAACACGCTTTATTGCTAAGCATTGCTATTGTATTGCTTTTGTACTGTCAGTAGTATTGCCATCTATGCGCACAATATAGCCAAAATATTGCTAACGTGTTGCTATGTATTGATAGCGTATTGCTAGTATTGTACTGCCGCAATACTAGTAATATATTTCTAAAGAAATGTACACTGATTGTCATAGTGGTTGACCTTTCGCATTTAAGTACCTATACAGCACATCACAGACATACATCTATACCTGTATGACTGTATTTATTTCATCTCAGCGCTGTAATTAGCGGCCTATTTATTCGCAATTAAATATGTTCTATCGGATTAGCCCTTATTATAGTTTGAGAATTTTTCTTATCTAAAGAAACGATCATTTATCGTTTATATACAACTCAGTGCTCGAGTAACATGGCCGATTCTTTCTTATCGAGCACACCAAAGAGCCCGATCGCGCACCTGTTGCATTAATAGCGTTAAAATTGTGCTTAGTCCTAAGAAAAGAAAATCTCTCCCGCGAAAATTGAGGTCCTGAGATCGTTGCATCGAGCTGTAATTAATTTTACACTCGAATGCTCGCTTTCTTCGGCCCATAAAACCGAATAACTGGATAACAATCTAAGAATATTGTTTGAGAACTCCGGAAGAATGTCGACGGAAATTTCAAGCAAGCCGTGTTTATTCGTTAGACGAATATTAGTAAATGAATTATTAGTAACAAATAGTATATTCGCAAACATAATTTTTAGAGCTATAGTGTATAAAATATACATAAAAAGTAGAGCTTTTCTAAAAAAGAACGTAGTATTAATTGGGGTTTATTTAATTATTTATATTTTGAGACAATAAAAAAAAATTCGGTAATCTCGCATGCCTTACATTTAACAGCAAACACAAGATAGCACGTAGATTATATAACAATAGCTTCATTTTAGCTTAGATACAACAATAGCCTCACTTAATTTGGGGAACAATAGATTAACGCGAAAATACAATTTTCACGCTAAGTTCATTACCAGTATGATTTCTATGCCTGTTAATCGCGAAAAGTTGCGTCGATTCGAATTCGTGATTACGAGAGCGACGTCAATTATTTGCGGAACAACCACGGCGACTATCGCGTCGTGATTGTCGTATTTCGGCACAGTTAATGCGATTTGCCCGACTGTCATATCATCGAGCGCGATAAAACAGTTAGCGTTATTAGATCGTGATTTCGAGGCTGGAAAGCTCCGGCCCCCTGAAATTCATAAACTCTCGGAATTGCGGCGCATTCTCCTCTCTTCCGAGCGCGGCCGTACGCGTGCCGAGTGAACAGAAATGAATTTGCGAATCTCGTTTGCACACCGAAGCCCAACGGCGCGCGCAATGTTTAATTCATGGAGGTCGTCCCAGCCGGGATACTTTTCCTGCGAGCGTTTCGTGTTGAAGAGAATGGATGCTGCGTTACCTGTGGATGCAGCACGGTGAATGACACTAGAACCAACGGTCGGCTCGGAGATCAACCTATTAAATCCTGGGATTAGAATCCGGACGAATTTCTAGTTTCGGGTAGTTATCAAATTAAATTAAATTTTAATTTTCTTAATCAGCCGTATAATCTTATTATATACGATATATCTGACTATAATAAGCTCGGGGTGGATAGATCAAGTTTTAATGACGACTCTTTTAGAATTGATTTTTAATTACAAAAAATTGAAGAAAAGCGATTGGCTTCTAAATAATATAATATACGTGTATTTTTGTACCTTTTTACCTTGGATCTATCCTAGCGTTGAAAATAAAATAGGCCATAGAATAAGAGACCTACATAAATTTGTTCAAATATAAGATATTCTCTCTTAAAAGAAGAATTTCTTCTCCAATTTCTCATTTCATTATCTGCTATACTATACTACTAAGTGATTGAAAGAAGGATGGGAAAATCAGCCGAGACTTAGTTAATCAAGACAGTTTACTGCAAGCAACTTTTAGAAGAAGTTTATATGAGATCTGTACGTACAATATCCCCTCGGCTACATTTTACGTCGGTTTTATGTTCTACGGTCTACGCCAAGAAGAATATAAAAGAAGCTTTTAACTAACCATTTCTCCGTCGCGTGCAAAGACGGCGAAGCAAGCGTGATGGAAGCTCGACTCTTAATTAGTCTAAGTGCCGCGTTGGACTGAAATTGTGGCAGTAATTACTCGTGTAACGTAACGCAGAATTGGAGGGGCGCGTTTCAACATCGGGGTGGATGGACCGGAGGTGCCCTATGCCATCATGAATTATTGATTAGCCTCCTTCCGCGCTTCGACAACAAACGCGACGCTGTCTAAACATAGCGCACTTCCAGCTAGCTTAGCCGATTTGTGCATAAAAAAAATAATCCGCATTCATAATTGCAAAAATGCGACATTCTCCTGAAATAATTTAACATTGTAATAGATTGCTGCGTAAAATAAAACTGGAGTTCGGTCTTCGTATTACAAGAAATTAATTAAGATAATTTTAAATTGATTACTTTAACTTTCATTTAAATTTCACATTAAATTTAAACGGACGTTTTATCTCGTAATAGAAGATTAAAAAAAAACATGAAATTCCTCATAGAAAATTATATAACACAAAAGATAACAGATATATAACAGATATATAATAAAATAAAATAATTTAGTAAATGCGCGTAAAAATATAAATGATGTTGAGGTCTCACTGAATCAACCGCCATTATTTTAAAATGCAAATGCGCGTGAAATCATTCTCTCCGTATAACGTGGAGAATATAAATTTTAATCGCCGTAGCTCTCCCGCAACATGAAAATTTTACGGTATATATACTCGTTGAAATGTGCACCCGGTAATTTTCAGAAACGCATTAACCAAATTGAGAAGTATCTCCGATGTGATATCCGCGAGGAGCGGCTTACTCTCGGGGAGACAAATGGCGCAGTAACGATATTTCTTCAGAAAGCCAAGTCCAACGATACGACGGCGTAACACTGTGCATGATACACGGTCGATGCACACTCCTTTGAAATCCTTTCAGCGTGGTGTATATCATTGTCCAGCGACAGTTAGCAATCTATACTTGGCTCGCGGCCATCGCGCGCGGAGACCGTTTTTGATATCACAGCTCCCGCGGTGGCTTCCGCACAGTGATATGACCCGCATTCATCTTCCGTCGATATCGAGAAACAAATATATCGCTGGGTCAGGGCTGTTGGGTATCTCCGCGCACAAAAAAAAATCTCCGCAAATCTATCTGTGCGAAATTGAAGTCTCATCTAATTAATTCAAATTTGAACTTCCTTCAACGCAAACAACCATTTTCCAGAATCAATTCTCCCTTTCCCGAGAATCGATATTAATTCTATCATCTTATTGTTAGAAAAATCAACAAGTAGAATCCGCGGATGAAATGTGGTTTTGTTAAATTCGGAACATTCTATGTAGCACAATGCCGCGTGCAACACGCTGAAATGATAATAGAAAACTCGAACAAGCGGAGTCATTCGCTACAATGGCGTTGAATCGGAGGTGATTAAGGAAAACCCAAGAGTTGCTAAGGTAAACGCGAAAGCTCGCGAAAGTTCGCGAATACTTTTTGTTCTTCGTTCAGTTGGCGCATCCCAAACAATTTACCGAGTGAACTAACTGCATTAACCGGCTACCGGGTAACGAATTAAGCAGCCGGCGATTGTTCCAACTTTTCCGCGGCCAGTTGGGGGAAATTCCGGGCGCCGTCGTTCGTCGACGGGAAAAATTCGCCGCGTGGGACTGTCCTTTTAATCCGGTAACCAGAACCGAGTTAATCCAACGGGGAAAAAAAGAGTGTCACGTCGGAAGGGAAAACGGGGCGCCTGTTAAAACGGGAAAGAAAGAAAGCGAGAGAGAGAGGAAGAGGAAAGTTTCTTTTCAGCTACCGTAAAACTCGGCCGACGTGGTCCTTACGTTCCATCCATTGTGTGTCCCCCGTAAACCACCCTCGTCCAACGGAGTTTCCGGCTCCGTGGTTTCTACATCGCCGCCCTTCGGAAACCCGAAGAAAAGAAAAGCTTGGCGGCAACGCTGATCTTTTTTAGGGAAATTCCGGTGGCGCAGCGCGGCAATGCCTGCCACTGAGCAAGACGAATTGCGAAGGACGCTCGCAGAAATAGAAATGCATCCAGGACGTTGTGGTTAAACACCGGAGTTCGTGTAGATCGCCGCGATAATAATTATTCCAGTTTTCATTAAATAATTTGTAACAAACTCCAATTCTGCATAATCGCTCGACAAAATTCGTAAAATTATTTAAATAATGTCACTGTGTTGGACCACACAAAAGATTGGCTTGAAATTAATCGAGAGAACTCATTAAAATACAATTAACACAATACCTTCTGGCGCGTGCTGCAAGCGTGACATATTTTGTATTATAAATATATATTAAATATATTTATACAGATTGTGCATGACACTTTTTAAAATGTCTGAATTAAAATACTAAATTAAAATTTGGCGTTATGACAAATAAATGAGGAATGGATTTGACACTTTACGATGAATTATTGTATATTATATGCTTCGGGTCAATTTTACAACATCTGAGATGCAGTACGGGAAATAATTAATTAAAAAGCTGAAATGAATTGAACTGCAACTGGCTCGCTACATTGCATCTTGAATTTGATTGAAAAAGTCGCTAATCAATGATTAATCCATATTCGCGTAATATTCGCGTGTAATTTAA